CTAACATTACAGAATTGTATACTTATATAGAAAAAAACAATGCAGCAAAGTAAAAACCAGTAATGGAAAAGTATTGCGTTACAAATTAAAGTGAACAGACTTACAAACTATGCAAGTATATGACAAAGTATAAAACATGAAGAAGAATAACACTACCAAAGATGCGGACAGGCTTATATTATCAAACCTTTTTTGCTCACTTCATTATTTTTTAATGATTAGTCTCGATTCCTTGGTCTTGCTTTCAGACAAGTTAATTCACAAAAAGAAGTGAAATGTAATTGTTAGAATGAGGTGTTGTGTGAGTTGTAGTGGAGATGCTATGCAACTACACACAAACCAGTAATGTGTGAATGCGACAATCAGTGCAAATAAAAATTTGATATTAATACTTTGCATGACCATAATGCTTTTAGTGGTCTTTGATTGCTTGGTTCTTTTCAGCTTGCTGCATTTCAATGTGTCACAAGCTTGGATTCCATTCTAAAAAAAATACCCCAAAAATTTAAAATTGTTAGAATGTGTTCATAATATTTCATAAGTAGAATCAAATAATTAATGTATGTGTTCAATGTTCTTACAACAGACTTACAAACTGTGTGAAACTATAACAGTGCAAAGTCATCTAAACTAAGCCAAATCAAGATAGAGTCTTAACTTATTTTCTGATCAGGCCATAGTGATTCTTTTCTGCTGGCTGCTCTTCAGTAGCTCTAAAAAGAAAAAAAATAAACAAGGTTAGTATTTCTGTCCAGAATAAATAATAACAACACATACATTGAATAAATTGGCAGCCACATTTTGAAAGAAATTAGATAACAGCATTGCAATTCCAGAGTTGTAAATTAATTAACATTGTTCGGTTAACTAAAAACTGAAACTATATTTTAATTGCCATAACATAGAAGTGAATACACTGCCATACACTGCCAAGGCAAGGAATTATTGTCCTGTTAAGTATTAGTTAATCATTCTTAGGAAAAGAAACACATTGCCTAAACATTAAATAGAATTGATGGGCAGCTATCATTACTATTAAGAGAAAAACTCTTCAGTTCCAATCCTATTTTCAAAATCAAGGCAAAAGTAAAATAAACTACAATGAACCCATCTAAACAAGGATGCCCCATCTAACTACCAACACAACCTGCCAGTTTCATACCCCAGTAAAATAGACAAATCACATCTACATTTTCAAGTAAAAACAATAGACAGAGCAATGAGGAAAATCACTAAATCAACAATTATAGGCATCAAAAGGAAACCAAGTGATGAAAATAAAGGTAAGTTCGAAACTTATCTTTTTAATACTTCAAATTAAGCTTCATTATAGCATCCTCTTCCTGTGCGATTCTGTTTATGCTCTCTGTCTCCTCAAAAAATTCCAGTATGTTCATGAAAAACAACATGATAAAGTCGAAAAAAGGTTAGGGTTTGTGTGAATAATAATATAGCTATACCATTTTGAAAATGATTGTTAAACAGTTAAGAGTAATTTCTATTTGGTGTTTTTAGAGCAATTTCTAAAAGAATACGGTTTAGAACACTAATGGCTATGAATCATACAAATCTGAAATCAATAAATTGGACTATGAATTGTCGATATGCATGCGTAGATCCAGAAATGTAGATCAATTTTAGAACAAAGAACAATGAAAAGTACGAAACCCTAAACAAATTTTGTGTAGATTTAAAGCATACTAACCTTAGAATTGGAGAATTAGCTTCACTGAAACGCGATTGCCACCATTTACCGTTGTTGAACACTACGATCTTTCACAGAAAGGAAAGATCGGGATTGTGTATTGAAAATCGGATCGATGCTAAGCGAGACCCGACTACAATTTCTCCGGAAATAATGTTCAATAAGAACAGTTGAATCGGAGATTACGACTTAGGACTGATCTAGATTTAGGCTTGACAGAGAAATATAGGAAGATCGTTTGGAATTGCTGAAGAACAGAGCGGTTCAGACATGAGAGAAGGAGAGGTCAAGCGAAGGAGAAGGCTTATCAGCCTCCTTCCTCTTCTCTCAATATTCCGACCGGAAAAAACAATAATAATTAATATATATATATATATATATATATATATATATATATATATATATATATATATATATTATGTGCGGCAAATTATATATATACAGAAAATATATATATTTAAATAGTTTATACATATAAATTAATAAATAAATATATAGATATGTATATAGTTATTTATTTATATATTTAATTTTGAATTGTTATGTGTAATTAATTAGATATATAATCTTAACAATTGTAATGGTATTTATTGTGGACAATGTTATACTTAAGAGTTTGTCAAATAAAATTAGTGTTACTATATAGCCATTACAATTTCAGGTATATATATATATATATATATATATATATATATATATATATATATATATCACAATTAGATTATCCGTTAGGTGTGTTTAGTGGCACAATCACTAATTTGTAAATAATTGTTAGGTAAATCTTGAACAATTCGAAATTAATTATGTACTGTTAGTTGTGTTATGTGTAATTCATTTTTAGGATTTTTAATTATTTGGATTATTATTTATTTTAATGTTCTATTCTAATTCGCAGAAAATGAATTGGGCAACTCATCATCAAGGAATAATTCTGCTCAAGGAAAACAACAGCCTCCGGCAAGAAATCCTTCCCGCATTCCTCTAGGAGGGTGTTTGTCGCAAAACATCACACCCTTGAGTAACATGACTAACGGTAAATCAACTAAGTTCAATTGATATAGCATCATTGTGAATTTAAAAAACCTTTTTATTGGTCTACTTATTATGTAAACCTTATTTAAAACAATTACAATTTACACTTATAGGCTAGCGTAATGAATAGCATTAGGTGTGATTAATTTTAAAAATGTCAATTGTTGTACTTACTGTTGTTTTTATCGTCTTTTAATTGATTCTTTTTTCCTCACAGCAAATAATTTTTGCAAATCATCATTAATGACTAATGCTGGTCAAGGGAAAGAGCAACATACGCCAAATAATCGAACCCAAAATCCGTTGGGATGTGGTTTGTCCCCAGATATCACACCATTCAGTAACATCAGTAATGGTAAATCCCAATATATGAATTGATATACATTAATTGTTAATTTAAATGTCCTTATACTGTTAATTGTTCGAAGCTGTTTGTCAAATTAAATGTTATAATTGTAATGTAATTTATGTTTAATATCAATTTCTAATTAATTGATTAGGTGTAATTAATTGATTACATTGTACTTAATGATATATACTTTTAGATTTGAATTGTATTTAAGTTAGAATGTGGACCATCGTCTACATAATTCTATTCGATTACGTATTAAAGTTGTGCAATTGTAAAATTATTTATGTTATGTGTACTTAATTGTTTCGAGTTATAATTATTGGAATTAGTTCTTAATTTAATGGTATATTTTCAATCACAGCAAATCATTTCGGTTGCTCATCTTTTACGAATAATGCTGCTCAAGATCAAGACCAACGGACGACAGCTACTCCTTACACTAATCCCCAGCGAGGATGTTTGTCTGAAAATATCACACCATTGAGTAACATCACTACCGGTAAATGCCCTAAGCTGAATTGCTATAGACTCTTTGTGAATTTAATTATAATGTAACTCATGGTACATATAAGTATGTGTGGAATTGTAACTTCACTAATTTTTGCCTGATATATGATTTATTTGATAATATCAATTTCTAATTTTTTGTTCAAATAGTTATATTTCTTTTGTTATGTGTAATTTAATTATAATGTAACTCATGGTACATATAAGTATGTGTGGAATTGTAATTTCACTAATTTTTTGCTGATATATGATTTATTTGATAATATCAATTTCTAATATCAATTTTTTGCTGAAATACACTTTTTCACTTTTATTCCTATTTATGGTGCACACATTATTGTGGACCATGGTCTATCATGTGATTTTTCCAATAAAATATAATAATACTTATACAGTTAAATTACTATTTCATATTCTAGGGTAGCATAAGTTATAATGTTAAGTGTATTTAATTTATAATATTAAGAATTCTATCCTTTTTATGTTAGTACGTGCTACCAACTTATTTTTTATAGTCCCATAAAATGTAGTGGTCTCAATTAATTGTCACTTTAAATATTGTTATTCTTTAAATTTGTCTAATATTATGTATGGTACAGTACGGCAGTGCAATACACAAATAGGTCCAAGCAATTGCCAGAATTTTTTATTGTAGATAAACAAAATCCGGGTTCGACGATAACACAAGATGAATTGGCAATTCGTAAACCATTAGATAAATATGCAATTGTCGAAGACCATGTAACAACCAGAGACTTGCTACCTGCCTTTGAAGATGAAAGTAACAATACAATGAGCGATGTCCCAAATCAGAACATAGATGGTAAAAAAATAGTCCCCTGTGGTGTTTCAAACAAATATAAGTAAAGTACATATGGTCACTCTTTCAATATTAAAAATAATTTTTAAATGTTTTTTAATTTCAGATGCAAATATATCGGGTAACGCTGTTAGGCAGACCTCGGAAATTGGGACATCCTCTGGTCCACAACATGGTATGTATGTTTGTTTTATACGTGCCTGAAATATAAATCAGTATTTAAATTTGTATATATTTGGTTTCAGGTCAATACTGCGATTTTGGTGATGCAACGAATCAGTGCGTCCATTGTGGGCTCTGTTTTGGTTTGAAGAAAGGAAGAAGAATTTGTCAACAAAAGCATCGCCACTGTTTATGTTGTGTTGCAACAATGGGAAGATCAAATTGCCGGATAATAAGTTGCCACCAAAAGGTATATTTGATCTCTTTTTCGGCAATGACGAAATATCAAAAGAGTTTTTACACAACATTAGGACCTACAACAACATGTTCTGCTTCACATCCATGGGTGGAAAAATTGACAAGAACGTGAACAAGGGGGAGCACCTCCAATTTTTCGATTAAGTGGTCAAAACTACCACCTAATGGGCACTTTACTTCCAGAACAAGGCAAAGAACCTCATTTTGCCCAGTTATACATATACGACACGGCAAATGAAAGGAACAACCGTATAAATGCTGTGAGGTAAAGAAGTTTCCGTAATTACACATTAAATACTATTTTTATCTAAATAAATATCAATTCCAAGTATATGTTGTAGGGGTAGTGGTGACCAAGATGACATTCATGTAGAAATAGTGAATGTCATTCAGAAAGACCTGGATGAAAATAATGTCTTGGTTAAGTCTTTTCGCATGGCTATGTCTGAGTTGGATATTAATCCATGCGCCGAAGTAAAAATAAAGTTGTTGGGAAAACGAACTAGAGATGCGAGGACATATAATCTGCCTCAAGTTTCTGAAGTAGCAGCTTTAATTGTTGGAGATCTGGATACAAGTATTGGAGAGCGTGATATTATTGTTCAATCGAAGGGTGGCCACCTACAGAGGATTACTGAATTAAATCCTTCATACTTACCACTGCAATACCCTATTTTGTTTCCATATGGCGAAGATGGTTATCGGGAGGACATTGCATTCGCCGACGTAGTAGGCAGGCGCTCTTCTGGTGGTAGACAGAGGATTAGCCCCAGGGAGTTTTTTTGCTACCGCATACAATCTAGACAGTCAGCTCCGAGTACCATATTATTTGCCAAACGGTTGTTCCAACAGTTCGTTGTAGATGGCTACACAATGGTTGAGTCTGGAAGACTAATTTATATAAGGACACACCAAAAAAGCCTAAGGTGTGAGAGTTATAGTGGATTGACTGATGCTTTGACGAGGGGTGAAATAAGTCCTGCAGCCAAGGTCGTAGAATAATACTACCTTCGAGTTTTACGGGTGGTGCTAGATACATGATACAAAACTACCAAGATGCAATGGCAATATGTAGATGGATTGGATACCCAGATTTATTTATAACTTTTACATGCAATCCGAAGTGGCCTGAGGTGCAACGCTTTTTAAAAGATCAAAGGTTGAAGCCAGAAGACCGGCCGGACATAATTTGCCGCTTATTCAAGATTAAGTTGGATGCTTTGATAGCTGACTGTCGAAAGAATCAACTATTTGGCCCTGTGGCTGGAGGTAATATTTTTTTTTTTTTTTATTTTAAATCAATTTATCTAAATAAATTTTAGGTAATTGCTTAACCTTATTATGTTTATTTGTATGTTGTTACAGTCATATATACAATTGAGTTTCAAAAGCGAGGTCTTCCGCATGCTCATATATTACTTTTTCTGGAGAAAAGTAAAGAAGTTAGGCAAGTTCTCACTCTAGAACATAATTTCCGCAGAGATTCCGGATGAAAAGAAAGATGCTGAGTATTACCAAGCGGTAGAGGAATTTATGATGCATGGTCCATGTGGAAAAGCGAGGACAAATTCTCCATGCATGGTAAATGCGCGATGCTCTAAACATTTTCCTAAGAGATTTGTTGATAGTTCTACGTTTGATGACGATGGTTACCCGGTATATAGAAGGAGAGACAATGGCAGTGTAGTTACAAAGAACGGTATCGCCTTGGACAACAGGTATGTGGTACCGCACAATAGATATTTATTGCTCAAGTACAAGGCTCATATAAATGTCGAGTGGTGCAACCAATCAAGGTCAATCAAGTACCTGTTCAAGTATGTTAACAAGGGTCATGATCGAGTAACAGCCGAATTTTACAAAACAGGCAATGATGACGAGAATGGCAAAGCAGTAGATGAGATAAATATGTACTATGACTGTAGGTACATATCCCCGTGTGAAGCGGTCTGGCGTCTGTTTGGTTTTGATATACAACTTCGTGCGCCTTCGGTAGAGAGGTTAAGCTTTCACCTACCTAATCAACAGAGTGTGATATTTGCAGATGATGATGCGGTTGAGAACATTGTGAATAGACCTACGATAGCACAGAGCATGTTTTTAGAATGGTTTGAAGCTAATAAAACATACCCCGGTGCCAGAGAGCTTACTTATGTTGAGATGCCAACAAGATTCGTTTGGAAGAAAGACCTTAGAAAATGGCAGCCACGAAAGAAAGGGTTCTCCATAGGACGTATATTCTATGTCCGCCAGCTACTGGTGAAATCTTCTATTTGAGGTGTTTGCTCAACAAAGTCCGCGGCCCTAAAAGTTACGAAGATATTAGGACTGTAAATGGAGTACAATATGACTCATTCCGAGATGCGTGTTATGCAAGAGGTTTAGTTGATGATGACAACGAATATGTTGATGCAATAGATGAAGCCAGTCATTGGGCGTCAGCGGAACAATTGAGGAGATTGTTTGTGACATTACTAATGAGCAGTTGCATGGGAAAACCGGAAATAGTTTGGCACGCCGTTTGGCAACATCTATCAGACGATGCCCAATTCAATATCCGTACACAACTGCAGAACAGAGGTAATCGTACATTTTTAAAAGAATATTAAGTCAAATTTAATGTATTTGAGCTATAACAACAAATGTTTATATATATGTATGCAGAGTTTGTGTTGACCGATTCGCAGAAAATGAACTTTGCTTTAGTTCAGATTGAAAAGCTATTATCTAATCATGGTAAGAGTTTGAAGACTATCCTGAGATGCCAACGGCCAATTTTGGTGCGTTAAACATTATTGCAAATAGGTTGATTCAAGAAGAATTATCATACGATCGGAGAACAAGAGAAAGAGAATCAAGAATTGGTAAGGCAGTTAACAGACGAACAAAGGGCAATATACAATGAAGTGTTAACTGACGTCGATTGCCAGCAAGGTGGGTTATTCTTCGTATCTGGTTATGGAGGACAGGTAAGACTTTCTGTGGCGAGCACTTTCTTCCGCATTAAGGTCTAAGAGTCAAATAGTTTTAAATGTTGCTTCTAGCGGCATAGCTTCGCTGTTATTACCTGGTGGTCGTACGGCGCATTCCAGATTTGCTATACGATATCTGTTAATGAAGATTCCACGTGCAACATAAGGAACGGCAGTGAACTGGCGGAACTTCTTGTGCAAACAAAGCTGATAATATGGGACGAAGCCCCAATGATGCATAAATTCTGCTTTGAAGCTTTGGATCGAACTATGCGGGATTTGATGCGCTTCGTAAATCCAAGGAGTTCTGATATGACATTCGGTGGCAAAACAGTTGTTTTGGGTGGCGATTTCAGGCAAATTTTACCAGTCATTCCCAAGGGTACTAGACCGGATATAGTTCGTGCGAGCATTAGCTCATCCTATCTATGGCAATCCTGTAAAGTCTTGAGGCTGACTAAGAATCTACGCTTGAAAAGTGTTCAATCAGAATCCGAGTGCAAGGAGATCGAGGAATTTGCTAAATGGATAGCTAATATAGGTGACGGAATGATTGGGTGTCAACTGGATGGGGAGTCAGAGATTACTATTCCAGAAGATTTGTTGTTAAAGTGCGAAGATGACCCTATTGCTACAATTGTTGATAGCACTTTCCCCAATTTCCGACTGGGACTTGCCGATTTGTCATATCTTAATCATAGTGCAATTTTAGCTCCAACATTGGATGTGGTAGATGCCGTTAACCAATACATGAATGACCATAATCCCGCTGAGAGTAAGACATACCTGAGTTGTGATTCTGTGTGTAAGTCAGATGCCAATGTGGACATGTTAGCGGATTTGCACACTCCGGAATTCTTGAATGCATTGAGATGTTCTGGAGTCCCAAATCATGCGTTGACATTGAAAGTTGGATCACCTGTTATGCTGTTGCGAAATATTGATCACACATTAGGATTATGCAACGGTACAAGGTTGATTGTTACAAGGTTGGCTGACCATGTGTTGGAAGGCCAAATCATGTGCGGTACAAATGCAGGAACCAGAGTTGATTCCTAGGATGTCTCTACACCGTCAGATCCTAGATTGCCTTTCAAATTTCAACGAAAGCAATTTCCCTTGATGCTATCCTATGCCATGACAATCAACAAAAGTCAAGGACAAACGCTTGCTAAAGTTGGGTTGTTGTTGAAAAAACCGGTCTTTAACCATGGACAACTATACGTAGCTGTTTCAAGAGTTAGTAACCCCAGGGGTTTGAAAATTTTGATTTGCGGGGAAAGTGTACCATGTCTTAGTACGACTAAAAATGTTGTGTACAAAGAAGTTTTCAATAATGTATAATAACAATTAACAATTTGTTTCAATAATACGTTTCTTATTAGGTTTCTTATTCTTATTATATTATACGTCATATTTTATGTACTATATAGGTAGAGTCTCTTAATGTATATAAAACTACTATTTTCATCAATGTCGAATAAAATCACTACTTTTCATTTCACATTTTTAAAGGTCTAATAACTATATTCTATACTGTATATATATCATACTATTACGAATTCAAACTATATA